CCGCTAGGTTGTGTCGCTTCTGAAACTTATAAACGCTCGACATTATAAACCCCGAGAGTCACATAGATTGCAAGCGAATCAAAATCAACTTTGACGGCCATGAATAGCTCCACGTCCGCCGTGGTTGCGATGTCCTGTGGCGCAGCTTTTTTCCCCAAAGGACCCACCATAGCCTCCGGTAGTTTGTAGGTCAGCGCTATCATTTCATACCTTGGAATTTTGTAGCGCTCCCTCACCATTCCGTCCAGCGACTCGAACGTTTCGTTTTCTTGCACTATCATCCCGTACACAGTCTCCGCCGAATCTTCTTGAAAATCCCATTCCCCATTCGCGGTTTTCTTCCACACTCCTCGAACAAAGCTCACAACACGGCCCATTTTTCTGGCTGGTTACCGAGAAAACAAAACTGTTAGAGACCACAATAGGATGTAGAGACATTCATAACGAGTCATACACTAGTTTTTAGTACATAATCACTAACACATTTACTAGACTATTACTGGTAACATTAAAGTTGTACGAGGATTCAATAAGTGTTGTAATAAAAGCAATTTTTCCAGATATACAACCCAACAATAAATGTAGGACCTCCATTACATACGATATAAGAGCACGTGATCTTACCTTCTTTTGGATGAGAGTCAACTATTTCTTCAACGGAAACTCTGGATTTATCTGCTTTTTACTCGGTGCGTTTTTTTCTCTTGAAGTTTAACAGCGACGTTTCTCAATTGACAACGATAACTCCTTATATAGCAGGTTAACAAACCCTAGTGTCCTATACTTACACGCATACATCGCATATAAGCCCAATTGTCGAAGCAATCTTCAGCATATCCTTGCATTTAATGCTTCTTCGGCGGGAAAAAAATATGTGACCCTCGTTTACGCAGGAATATCGCCCCTAATCTAGCAAATATCTCTAGCCACCCTATCGATTGTACTTACCGTCAGAAGACTCTGTTCATGTCTCGCTTTAGCAAAAATATCGGGGGGCAAAAATATCATTGCCGATGACCAAGAACACAGTGTTAATATTTGTTTTTGGGCCCTTGGTCATTTACCTAATTTCGTTACTCATTTGGTTTATTTGCCTAATTCACTCTATAAAGTATATATAGCGTATAGAAGGAGTATATGTTATATGAAGCTCAATTCACGAGGACCTCGCAAGTTACATCATCAATTATTATATATAATTAATATCACGAAACGTACATCAGCACAAATAATTATGGACGTTGACGAAACCAAATTCGTGGCTTTGTACGTTACTCAAGTACTTCATGTCTATAATAGACGTTCTCGACAAGCTCCACAACATTTTAATCTATGATTTATTATACATGCCATGATATTTATTTTATTTTCGAGAAGTCTACTCATACTTAGCATTTTATTATCTTAACTACCAACTAGCTCTATGATTTTTAACTTTAGGAAATACCTAAAAATTTAATTTCTCAAACATTCGTCGGTATGCTTTCTTAGATATAGTTGCGGATCTAAAAAAAAATTAGTTAGAAGCATAATTTTATAAACAAAGAAAATATTTAGTTAGAGATTTTTTTTTAATTTTTACTATTAAATTAAAAATATTTTGATTAAATTTACCTATATTATTTAAGAAAAAATAAAAATAGTAAGGGGTACTAGACGCTATAACGTCTTCACTACGTCTTCACTACGTCCGCTCTGCTTAGTTACATAAAGGTCTTTAATTAACATGTTTGCATTTGCCATGGCAAAATATTTCTTTTCAATCAAAATTTAGTTTCCTTTAATGCACTGTGCTAATTAATCTCTCTCATATGCATTCTAATACTATGTCGAGAAAATAGGATAATTCGTAACCCAAACAGTTCAATTTCTGAATTGAGTTTGGAATCAACAGTATTTAGCCTGCCATAAATTTAACCTGTATTTTTGACAAAAAGTTTACAATTTTTAATTACTCTTGGTTTCTTAGGAAAACACATGCATTTTGTGTTGCGACAACAGTAATAAAATGCAATTTTATGCACAGTACGTATTTTCTTTAAAATTTTCAAAATGTTATAAAATCTAAGAGGAAATTTTTGTGAGGTGGGAAGTTGTGTCAGGATAAATGATTCTTTACTGGTCTTGAGTCTGACAAGTGAATGAAGGAAGATGCAGAAGCAAACAACTCTGTAATTTATACACACAACAAAAAATCCATTTTACCCTTTTTCCTATTATCTTTCTCCTTATAACATCTCACGGAGACGGAGGTCATGTTACTATTACTATATTAGTCTTGTTTAATGTTTAATGAAGAGACTGAACATACGTTTTCTTGAAGTAATTTAGAAGAAAACACTTTGGGTTAAGGGAATTTCATAGAAGTTTGCGTGTTTCTATTGGATTTATTATTTGACCATCTCATTGGTCAGCATGTTTGAAATATTACATTATTCGAGTACCTTAATGTTGTCCTACTTTAAGTATTAAAATAATTAAGCAACTCTCTTAATAGTGGTTCAATAAAAAAAAAAATTTGGTATTTTCTTGGCTTGATAAGATCACAGGAAAATGGAACTAGTTTGAAACATGATGTTATGCTTTTTTCTTGTATCTGAGCCTCAAAAAAACAGTTTTGTACAACGACATTAATATCACAAATTCATAAAGCTCATGACTGATATTTATACAACATGGTGCCCCTCGTTTTTTTTTTCCCTCATGGTGCTCCTCGTTCGTTTACATCAAATTGTGGTTATGGACTATAATTTTGAATCTCTTGGATCTAATTATTTACTCCTGGGGGCGTAGCAGCTATCTTAAATTTATTTTATGGTATTGATGACCTGTTTGCTTCGTCTGGATCACCAATGTTTAATCCATATCTATTTCACAATTTTTTCATATTTGAATATTATTTCATCTGATTAGTTCCGCAATAATTTAGCAATAATTATAATAATTAAATTAGAATAAAAATTTACAATCTAACATTTTTTGTCAAACAAAGTTCTATATTTATCTCGTACTTTCCATAAACAAATAGTTCGAAGCATACAACAAAGCCAAATCGGTTAAAAAAACTGTTGCTACCATAACTAGACCGGAAACATACATAATAAAGATAAAAGCAACTATAACACTTGATCCACTAAAGTGGGAGAGGAATCCTTGAGTCTCGAGGCTAATAGTGCTAAGAAGCCGTAACTACAAGAAAATATCATTTACAACTACGGTATTCGTTGTGAATTCGTTGTAAATAAGAGTTTGTATCGATTTTATAATAAAATTCAAATTGTCGTAAATCATTCGTCATAAATCGAATTTCATTGTGAATTCGTTGTAAATTAACACGACTTTTATCCGTCGTTAATTTACAACAATTTTACAACAAATTTTGTTATTTTATTTATTTTTTATTTTTATTATTTACAACAATTTTACAATAATTTTTATTATTTTATTTATTTTTTATTTTCTTATTTACAATGAAATAGCAACGATTGCTCCAACGATGGTAGCAACGGCGACGATTGCTCCGACGGTAGTGGCTCTGACGGTGGTGGCTCCGACAGAGGTGGCTCCGGCGATGATTGCCCCAAGTAACAGTGGCTCCGGCGGTGGTGGCTCCGGCGGTGGTGGCTTCGACAATGGTGATATGTTGTTCTGATGGTGAAAGTGAATTAATAAACTTGTTATTTAATAGTTATGAGTTTGTTATATATATATATTATTAGAGATTTTGCTAAGTTTCTGATGTGGAACTTTTGTAATTTTTGGTTAACAACGAATTTACATCGATTTTAAGATGAATCGTTGTAATTTTGTTGCTAATTTAAAAAAATTGATTTACAACGAATTTGCAACAAATCATCTTGTTAGTTTGAATAAATTCTATATGATCATACTACTATAGATTATATATATCCCTTATGTAAAAATTTAGTAGATCAAACATGCAATTTAT